TCACTCAAACAACACTGGAGGATACCAGCAATGCAAAAGGGCATAGAACGAATCATCGAAAGCCACTTTAGGTCTGGCTTGCCACCAGACACGTCATAATAACGAACTCAGAACGTTGACATCACGCACTGAAATTCAGACTTATCCAAACCCCATCAAACTTTTCGATTTGTTGTAAAGGTAGAAAGTTCCCTTTCCATCTACCCTGAATTTTATAATTTAAATATAGGACACTTTGTGTATGGAATTAACATTTCACCTGTACTTACTTTCACATTTTAACTTGTTTGATACATGGATTGGATCAGCTTTCCATCTGTTAAAATTAACAACTTTGTACACCGAGTTAACTTTTCATCTGTTCAAATATCTGCTTTTTACATATCTTGCATTTTTACATTCTTCGTTACTGTGTTGATGGAGTCATCTTTTCATCTGTTTTGCTATCTATATTTTGAATTCAAGTCACCCTTTCTATTCCTCATTGTAAATACTCATCTTCCCTTTGTTTTTCAAACTGGGAATTGTTTTTGTATTTTTAGTTGATCAATAAAATTGCTCCCCGGATGCCCCCGACAGGGGGCGGGACGGGGTTAAGCTTTTCTGATGGCTATGGAGTTGAACATTGGTAGTCGTAATCCTAAAATTGGGTAGTCTGTTCAACGACGGTTTTATAATGTAAAACAGAGTGGTATTTTAAACGTTAAAAATATTAGATCCCAAACGCTTTGATTTTCACAATCTTCATATTGACATTTCGCGCCCCTTTTTTGGGCCTTTGGTGGAGAGCGCTGGCTAAAGTTAGGATAAACGTGTCGTAACAGTCATAAAGTACTGCTGCAATTTCACAGTAATGTAAAAGCTTACAGTAAGAGAAAAACGTTATTTACGGTCACGACAGGGCCTCAACTGCTTGAGGTCCTCCTCGACAGCGTTCATCCATATATTCTTCGGTCATATACTCTTTCGTTAATCCTCGCATCTTTCTTTAAAGATCTTCTTGTGCCGCGATGGCTCGGGGGATAGAGCGTTCGCCTTCCAAAGAAGCAAACCGGGTTCGAATCCCAGTCGATGCGAATTCCGCATCCGTNTTTTTTAAATAATTTTATGATATATATATATCGTAAAAAATATAGTTATTCTACTGAAGACTACAAGGCTACAAAGGTTACAATAGATAGCCGCTAATCCTAAAACCAATTGGTATTGATTGAGAAAACAATTCACAATGCTTGTAATACTTATACGCATTTACCGATATTTACTCATTATGCATTGAGAATAAGTTTGTAAATATACATAATTTGCGTGTGAAACAGGGTGATTCGCCAATAACGGCGCAAACTAGGAAGGTGTACGCGTAAGCAATTATAATTTTGTATAGGAATATAAGGTTTAAAGGGTTGTGTTTAAGCGGAAAGGCAAAAAACTACACGGGAGGCAAAACTAGTTCTTTTTACAAAACTAATGCAAAGTGCTTCTTTTGCTGCTTACTTTCGAACATTGTGTGTGCTGCAAAAATCTTCACTTTTATTGTACCAAGAAACCATTTTTGGTACAACAGTACAGATTCTTTGCTGTTTCCTTTAGCAGCGCCATCATACATTCGATGCATGTCTGGCTTTTCCTTATGCACCAACCATTCATTTTCATCAAACCTCCCCACACTCTCAAAATCACGGTTGCTAATGACATTCTTCATTTGATACATTGGATCACGGTTTTCTTGCTCACTACCATCTTCTAACTACTGTATTGCCAGTCAACATCAGCAGTAGTTCATTAGTGATCGCAATCTCGAACACTTATTGAAAATACTGCTTTTCTACAAAAAAGCACAGATTTAGAAAATAAATGTCCCGCAGTGGACTGATCGTAAAGACTTGGTTCCCAGTAGAACATTGAAGTCAAGCATCACTGGCTGCGCTCAGTAAGCGGGTGGGTGAACACTTTGATCAGCCTGCATAGGACCGAGGGTACAGGGTATCGGTCGTTGTTAAGCTGTTCTACCGTAACGTGCTCGGCTTTGCACGCAGATCGTCGGGCTACCAAAGCAGGGGAGCCATTCCTTCTGTAGAGGATCAAAATTGCTACGGCTTGTCGTCGGATCATTCTCAGGGATGTTTCCCAACCAGATGTGCAACCCCAGTGTGACGTAAATAAAGTACCTACCTCTGTTAAAATGAAACAACTAACTGAAAAACATTAGTCTCAACTGACCATTGAAACCGTTTTCTTTTCTTCAGATTCGTGATAATATGTACTTAAACATCTCTTGGAAAAAAATTGAAAATTGAAGTATTATTACATTTTTTTTAACCGGGAGTTTGATGCGCTCAAGCAATCATCAAAAATTTGAAGTTATGCACAATTTTTTTAAAATGAAACTATTTTATTTTCTTACAAGTTTAGTGCAAAAAAATCCAAGTATTAACTACAGACACATGGAAAAACTATAAAACAGAAGCATTCTCAGCACAAAAGTGAAACTCATTCTTTTAAAGCTTCTCATCAGTTAGCTAACGCCATCTGTTAACATGAAGACTCAGCACCCGCGTAACTTTTCGCGTGCTTTAACGCGTTCCTTTAGACCCCATACTACTATACGAAAATTACACGCTTAGTACACTCAACTACCTCTCTAAGTTTACCTCGTGGTTTTCTTCTTTCTTCTTTTGTTTGTTGAGCTTCGCACCTGGGCAGCACAGCGGCCCCTTATCCCATCCATCATGTTTTTTAAAATAGTTATGGTAGGAATTCATGAGGTCAGCAGTCTATGTGGTGACTGATTTGTCTCGTGATCGTGCTATCACGCTGCATATACACCGAAGAGCCATTACATTACGACCACCCTACTTATAACATGTAGGACCACCTTTAGTCCTGAAAATTGCTAGCACCCGCCGTGCATTGATGCTAAAAGGTGCTGATAGGTAGTCTGAGGTATCTGGTACCAAGCGCTCACCAGCTGGTCTTGCAATTTCCTCACATTGCAAGGGGGGTAATGTGGCAGCACGAATTTGATTTTCCAAGTAGGTATCTCTTGATTGACAATAAAAGATTGGCGGGGTAATCATTATTTCCACAGAACAGAAATGTTATTCTTTTTTTTTGAATATTAAGTAAAGGCACACATCTTCAGGCTAACATTACAAAAAAAATCTTATTTTCTTATTGAAAACCTTGTTTTTAAACTTTCTTTTCCTAATAAGGGTAAGGTTCTCAAACGCAACATTTTTTGATGATGAGTGTTCATTTATCTCGCCAACCAAGACTTTTATAATAATAAAAGAATTATATATTTGCCACTTCAAAAAAGACAAAAAACATGATACAATTATGATCATAAAATCTGAGATAAACCTTGTTTTTTTAACTATTCTTTCTTACATTACATGATTATTGCAAAAACCTTAATTTTAATGAAACAAGAAAAAAGAAATAAAAAAAGATGGAGCTGTCAATCTTGATTTAATTTCAGCAGGTTTTCTAAGCCTCGTTTTGTCAAGATAGATTCAATCTCGATATAAATTGGCAGGTTGTGCAAGCTTAATTCGAATTTCAAAACCTTGTTAGGGTTTTGTGAAAAAGGTTTCTGCTGGCATTAAAACCAACTTTACACTGTTATCTAGATGAAGAATTAAGAATAGTATGAACCACAACTTTTAAATAGCTTCACAGTTGCTGCAATAATAAGATTCAAGTTTTTTGAAGTTTACACAAGGGTTATTGTTCACACAAGTGCTTACTTGGCAGTTTAAGACTTGGCGATAAAATCGAAGAACAGTCTCTGATATGGGTGCTGCTGCGGAAAGAATGGCTTTTATGTTTCCCCCTAGACTTTCAGCGAAACCTTTACATATTTCTGGAGTCCAGAGCTCTTCTATACCTCTAGATCTGAAATAAGGATAGATTCAGCTCCAATTAAAACTAATTAACTTTGTTAAAATAAAATAGGAAATTGGCAATTTTTAGTTCCTAAATCCAGTTGGATACTTGCAAGCGGTGTGGGTCAGCCAATCAGGTTCGACACACACGGGTGATGTCATCTGCAGGTATCCAATTAAATCTTATCCGAAAATTGATTCAGCGTGATAGTTAACTCAAACGAGGCCGGGATAGCCTTGTTGGCAGGACGCTGGACTCCCGTTCATAAGAAAGGGAGTTTGAATTCAGCCGACCGAAGACTCCCCGTGTTGTCAGTGGTGACTGATGCACGCTAAATCTGTAGGGTTGCTAATTCCTCCACGTTCCCAAAACAAATTAAACCTCTCGGGGTACTGAATTGGAGATTAATCGTTCTCTAGTTCAAGTCCAAATTACGATCTGTGGAGGAATGAATGGATGCATAAACGGTACCGCCCTGTAAATAGGTGTGACGTATGGGTGGGAAGTCGAATTATTGGCCATAGATGGCGCCACTGGAAGACATGAACAATCGCACCGTTTGCCTTAATGGCCTACGACAACAACAGCAACATTAACTCAAACCTTAAAGCTGAGACATATACATGCCACGCACAACCACGTCATTAGACACAATCATGTGATTATTTTCAAGTGCCCAATTAGATGGGTTGTTCATTTTTTTATTGAGGGCGTTGAATTTATTTTTAGGGGTAAAATTACTATGGTTTTCTTCCTCGTGAAACCCGTGCTCGCAATGGCTTCAATCGCAAAGTTCTTTACGAATGAAATTTTACCCTTGAAATTTACCCGAGAATTCGAGAACGTCCTATTGGTTCAGTCTAATAATAATTGACTACAGAATCGAGCTTAAAGTAATTTTATATTATACGATTTGTCAAATTTATTAATGTTCTTTTATCATAATTAATTACTAAATCACTGCAGTAATAGTCCATGCTAGAGCATGGCCTCTCTAGCAATTTTACTTTGAAGTAGTCTGTTGCGCGCGTGCTTTAGTATTCCTACTCGTCATTCTCAAAAGTGTTTCTCGAATCTATTTCGCCAAGTAAAATAAAACAGCCACAGTTTAAGTGCTGTTACTCTTAAGGCAAATTTATAGTTTTAAATTTCATATACCGTAAGGAATCATTTAAATTTTAGAATGGGAAAGCAGCTTAAATATTTTAATACTTATTAAACACTTAACTTACAAATTGTTAATTTGGCGTGATTTTTCAACCTATGAGAAAATTACCAAAATCAATAAGTAATTCCTAAATTTTTATGAGTCAGGTAATGCAGCAATAGAGTGGTGGCTCAGGTGGCTCAGGAGATAGAGCGTTCACCTTCCAATGAGGTAAACCGGGTTCGAATCTCAACAATGATTAGTCAATACGAATTACACACTCGGCTTGCACCGACCACAGTGCTGACGTATCCTCAGTGGTAGACGAATCATGGGATGGTGTCCCCATGCCATCAGGCTAACGGTCGGAGTTTCTTGTGGTATTCCTCGCCATGTAACGCAAATGTGGGTTTGTTCCATCTAAAAGTCCTCCACGAAGGCAAAATTTCTCTCAATACTTGAGCCAGGAGTTCTCTCGTCTCCTGGATTGGGTTCAAAACTACATGGCTATGGAGTTGAACATTGGTAGTCGTAATCCTAAAATTGGGTAGTCTGTTCAACGACGGTTTTATAATGTAAAATAGAGTGGTATTTTAAATGTTAAAAATATTAGATCCCAAACGCTTTGATTTTCACAAAAGTGTGTCTTTTCTTCATATTGACATTTTGCGCCCCTTTTTTGGGCCTTTGGTGGAGAGCACTGGCTAAAGTTAGGATAAACGTGTCGTAACAATTATAAAGTACTGCTGCAATTTCACAGTAATGTAAAAGCTTACAGTAAGAGAAAAACGTTATTTACGGTCACGGCAGGGCCTCAACTGCTTGAGGTCCTCCTCGACAGCGTTCATCCATATATTCTTGGGTCATATACCCTTTCGTTAATCCTCGCATCTTTCTTTAAAGATCTTCTTGTGCCGCGATGGCTAAGGGGATAGAGCGTTCGCCTTCCAATGAGGCAANAATTGGTAAGTACATATTCAACACCACAGTGCTGACTTGAAATATCCTCAGTGGTAGATGGATCATGGGTTAGAGTCCTTTTGCAGTCAGGCTACCCGTGGGAGATTCTCGTGGTCTTCCTCTCCATGTAACGCAAATGAGGGTTAGCTCTATCAAAAAGTCGCAAATTTCTCCCAATACTCGATCCAGGAGTTCCCTTGTCTTTTCGATAGGGTTCAAAATTACAAGGCTACGGAGTGGAACATTAGTAGTCGTAAACCCAAAATTGGGTCGGCTGTTCNGCTGTTGAACGACGGCCATAAAATAAAATAAAAATCTTCTTTGTGCATTTATTCCTTTTCTTTACAATCCCAAACCATTGGATTTTTTATGACTTTAGAAAGTTTATTATTTATTCTTTTATTGTAATCAATTCTGTTTTTCTTAATTTTTTTAATTAGAAATTTTTTTAATATACTAATTTTTATTTTTTTAAATACAAGAGAGATTTAGACTTTTGCCTACGGCTGGTACAATAAGTGGACCAGAATGGCTTCATCATACTAAGCGCCGTAACCAAATAGTTAATACAGGCCCCTTGCCAGATTATTAGACTCACTATAAGATTGTATGTAAAATCTTAATTATCATGCGATACTATACAGCTTTATTATTTTTACGCTACTGAAACCTTTTTGCACTTGCTTACGTTCGTGTATAAATTGGTTAAATTAGACGATGTATAGTATAAATTGACGATTTCATAAATTAGACGATATATTATATAAATATATAAACACTCCATTACAAATTGTTAATTTGACGTAATTTTTCAACCTATGAGAAAATTACCAAAATCAATAAGTAATTCCTAAATTTTTATGAGTCAGGTAATGCAGCAATAGAGTGGCACTACCCGAGGTGGCCCAGGAGATAGAGCGTTCACCTTCCAATGAGGTGAACCGGGTTCGAATCTCAACAATGGTTAGTCAATACGAATTACACACTCGGCTTGCACCGACCACAGTGCTGAGGTATCCTCAGTGGTAGACGAATCATGGGCTAGAGTCCCCATGCCATCAGGCTAACGGTCGGAGTTTCTTGTGGTCTTCCTCTCCATGTAACGCAAATGTGGGTTTGTTGCATCTAAAAGTCTTCCACGAAGGCAAAATTTCTCTCAATACTTGAGCCAGGAGTTCTCTCGTCTCCTGGATTGGGTTCAAAACTACATGGCTAATGGAGTTAAGACAGAGCTGAAACACGCTGTTGATAAAATCAGGAATAACAAAGCTTCAGGCTACGACGGCATACCGCCGGAAGTCTTTAAGGCAATCTATATATTAGCACCAGACTGGATGCTAGGGATCTTTAATAAATGTCAAGAACTCTGCTACTTCCCAAGCTTTTGGAAAATAGCAAAACTAATTCTGATTCCGAAGATATGGAAAAATTTAGATTAACCTGACGGTTATAGACCAATTTCTCTACTCCCGGTTTGGGGGAAGATTTTGGATAGGTTGATCACTTCCAGACTCTCGTACTTTTTGGAATCGAACAGTTTACTCCATGAAGAACAACATGGCTTCAGAAAGCATAGGGCCACAAGTGCGTCCGATAATTTGTACAGGGATTGTAAATATACTATATATATTTTTTAATTTTACACTTGGATTTTAAGTAAATATTTTGAATTTTAAGTTAAAAATTTAAATTTTGCATATAAATAAATCGTAAATACATTTTTCAATCATTTCATCTTAAATTCATTACTTTTTCATTCCATGTCTATTGCTTACAACATTCATCTTCATCATTTCTTTACTAAGTTTTGCTTGAGTCTGTAAAAAGTGAATAAGTCAGTACTGATTTTTCGGTATATTTTTACAAGATGACTTATTGTATGCAAAACAGAAATAGTTAACAAATGCATTTTCTCTGTTAGAAGAAAGATGATGCTTTTGAACAAGTGAAAAACTCAATTTATGAAAAGTTAATTTATGAAATAAGGAACAATTACGATAATAAATAAATAAATTTCGGGTGTTTTTTACTTCATACTTACTGGAAAACATTTTTTAAACTTTCTTTAAAAAATACCTAAAAATTGTAATGTGCAGACATTTTTTATTTCATTTTTATGACGAGTGCGTATTGTATAACGCCCCGTATAAAATCTTTTTTAAAACTTTAATTGAATTTCACCATGCGTTGTTTTAAATGTTTTGATAGTTAACGTCCACGAAAGCTTTGTAATCGATTATTGGTGAAGATATTAGGTTCATCCTTAATGATGACCTGAATTCGATTCTGGCACAAGCACGCATTTCACTTCTACAATCAAAACGCAGATGGTAGTAATTACTCGGTTTCCGCACCACGCTCCCTAACTATTCATCTCTGTGTGAACCTTTCCTATTTTGGAAGCATTGCATTTTACTTACATGTTCAGTAAGACATGTAAGTAAAAAGCTTTCAGACGCACATCACAGGGAATCGAACCTTGGTTCGAACCGTGGTAGGCAAAGAGTAAGTTGTTTCAAAAGTTGTATCGTCTAAATATGCAATGCCATTAATAAAATATGCACAGTGGCTAAAGTGCTGTAAGTAAAAAATCATATGTACATAAATACTTTCGTATTACCATATCATAGAGCTTGTTCAACATTCTAGGTACCGCTGGCCAAAAAGTGGGTTTTAAAACTTTCATATCGTCTAAAAGTGAATTAACATCGCCAGAGTAGAAACCTATGCTTGCACCTACCGTAAACATTACAGCCTAAAAAGGAAAAAGTATTAAAACTATTTAGTAGTAACTCTTTTTACAATTCTATGAAAAATGTAGAATTTTTATGTAGTTTTTATTTAAGGAAATTTCAAAAATTCTCTTGAGTTCTCTTTTCTATTTGATCAGAGAGAAAGAAGAATTACAGAGGATTTTATTTTTTTAGAATGTTTTCAAAGTCTGCCTCGATATGAAGTCTCCCGATAATACTTTTCCCTCTATAACGCTATTCTTAATCAG